GTTTTCACTTGAGATTTGGAGCCAAATTACAGGGGGGTACAAACTTTTCTTTTAAAATCTTCATTTTTAAGGCCTCATATGGTTCAATCTCATGGAAATCTCAGTGCGGCTCCATGTTCAGTTTGTTGTAATTGAATCAAAATCCAGCTGTGGTTCACTTTGCACACAGCTGATACCTATTGCATTTAAAAGGAAATGACTGAAGAATAAATAATGTTAAAACTATCTATCTTGTTTCCTATCAAAACAATTGCATTAAGCATAACTCTCTGAGTACCAAAAATAAACTGAAAGTAAAGTTGAGGCACACTAACTTGCTCTAAAAGTGTATTTATAAGAATCTATATTTGAATCAGTTTCAGGGGTATTTGGAAGACGGGATTTTGTTCATTTTAACAGATTCTGAAGCTACCAAGGGTTCAACAGTATGACATTTACATTTTGGCGCACTGACATCCCAATATTTCCAGGAATGAACCATAAAGGGCCTTAAAATGAAGATCTTATAAACATGGACAGCTATATTTTATGCAATTGTGTTATTTATTTTTCAGATATTCCTCTTTAAAAGAAAAAAGTATCAGCTGTATGCAAAGTGAGTGACCCACATTTGGTCTTTGACCACTGAAAATGTGTACAATTGACCAATTTACTCATGGAGCCGCATTAAGATCTTCAAATCTCTGGGATTGAACCACCAAGGGCCAAAGGAAAAGTTTGTTAAGAACCAGAAAAAAAGGATTTTCCTCAATTTTTACCTGTCACTGTCAAAGATTGCTAAATATTTTACTTATAGGCCTTCCAATCTCTCTATAAAAAGAAAATTATGCTACCGGACATTTTATACCCCTCTAATTTGTCTCCAAATCTCATGTGAAAGTTGTCATTTTGACCCGCTCAACAAAACAGTGGATTACTCAGTAAATATACATTCATTGCATTTTATATTACAGCTTTCTTCTTTATGTTTTACTTTCACCAGAAAAATTAAAAGAAACATATTAGCCAGGGGCCTGGTTAGGCTGACATTGAATGACCCTGATGGGAATTGCATGTTTCCTCATACTGATCATCTGACAATAGTAATCCTGACCTGCAACATTTTTCAATCATATGCAAATCTGGCCGGATTTATAAAAACTAGTGGATCGAGTTTCAAAAAAACGTTCCAGGAATAAGAAAAAAATCACTAAATGACCTGATGTTAAGGTTTGTCTGATTTGTCACAAAGATAATGTTAGCTATAGTCTTCTGGACAAATGTGTTGAAAGCTACAAACCAAACTCTTAAGTTTTGCATCAATATTTATAAATGTAAAGCTTTTTGCATTTTTTTTAAAATTTTGTACAGAAAAGTAAATAGCAAACAAAACACATTTTTTGATTAAAAACAAACACTTCTAGCAATAAATTGATCATTTTTTAAAGAGGGACAGTGAAATTGTTGGAAAAGCAAATGTACAGTGAATAAATATGTTTGGTAACACTTTACAATACGGATGCACTAATATGCATTAATTCATGCTTAACTAATGCACAGATAATCATTAATTAAGTTAATGTATAACTCATGAAGAACTAAACCATTAATTAATGATTACTGCATCAGCAACTAATAAAGAGTCTATATGAATAATAGATTAAGTAATACATGAATTGCTATTAATTCAATGTGTCATTGAGTATCAGTTCCTTAATAACATATTTTATTAACTAATGGTGTAAATTAATGTGTTAATTATCACAATTAGTCAAAGCTATGCACTTCAACTTCCAGTTGTCTGCTTTAATTAATCATTTGCTAATGATTTGCAATGGTATCATTATGGTATGACTTTACTTGGTGGGGCACATCATTATTACCTAGTCATTTAGTAATTGTAGTAATTTGCACATACATTTGCACTAACAATGAAGTAATTAATCATGTATTAATGCATATTAGTGTACCTGTCATATTATCTGGAAGTTGAAATACACGGCTTTGGCTCATTCTGGTAATTAACATATTAATTAACACTATGAGTTATAATGCAATTAATCCACAATTACATATTTAATTAATAACAATTCATGTATGAACTAATACATTAACCTTACAGACTCTTAATTAGTTTCTAATGTGGTAATCATTAATGAATAGACAATCATTAGTTACACATTAATTCAGTATTATCTTGTGCATTAGTTACACAGCAAATTTCAGGAGTTGAAAAATCATGAGTTAGGCAAAAAAGTGTGAAAGAGTTAATTTTTTGGAGTTATTTTTTTAACTCTGACTACGGTTTGTGTTATTGGATACTCCCCGGATGTGTTGTATTTTGGAGTTCATTCATTGGTGTTCAGGAGCGTGTTTTAACACTACACCTGGAGTTATTCTTGAGAAGTGCGCCACGACACGACCCTGCCGCTGCACAAAGGAATAATGGACTTACGCTTCGTTGTGAGGTAGGTAAAAGTGTAACTTATATAAACTATTTAAAAAATATATTTTCTGACAAACACGTTTGGTCATCGCGTAGCTGTTACGTTACAGGCTAGTTTGTTTACTAATTAACGTCAACAACCATGACAAACTTGCTGTTGAACGCATGTTTAAATTACTTGTTTCAAATTTTGAAATGGCTATTTGCGTGGGTTTTTTGTCGATGTAAACGAGTTAACATTAGCTAACCGTCTTTCCATTCACCGTGTTTCTGAAAATGAGTGTTTTGCCGTGAAATAGATGCGTCAATGCATTACAGGCAATTGAATTGTAACAGCTATGTAACGTTAGGCTATATTAGTGGTGACCCACGATGTGCGTGATTTTCAGCTTATATATTTTTGCATTCTCAATGAATGGTGCTAGATTATATTATGCCTCATGCTGTTGTTTTTGTGATCTTCAGACGACTGTCCTGCAGCAAGCGGTTGAAGGTTACTCCTCCTCAAGTCTGAACCAAATGGATTTGCTCAAATAAAGGCAGTAAATCAAGAGTATGGTGTCCAGTGTAGTAATTTCCACACAAAACATTATATTGTGTTAAATAAATGTTAACTCTAAGAAGTGTTAAACTAAACTGGTAACACTGGTAATGAGTTCATATAATTAATTTTAGAGTTACATTTACTCTCTGTAGGATTAGTATTTTAACTCCATTTTAACTATGAAAAAAGTGTTAAAAATTCAACTCCAAGAGCAGAGTTATTTTAACCTTGCGCTGGAGTCTAATTGATGGTCTCACTCAATCTGAGTGTACATGTGACTCACATGTACACTCAGATTGAGTTGATTTTAACTAACAGGGAGTTTATTCCAAAAACCAGAATTTGCTGTGTAAGCATGAAATAATGCTTATTAGTGCACCCGTATTGTAAAGTGTTACCATATATTTCTTTATTGAAAACCTTCTACCAAAATTCTTAAATCACACATCAAACATGATCAGTGAAACATTTTACATTTTTATGCATTTTAAGATGAAATATTCAGGCATTACAGCATTTTTTCATTCTTTCTGTTGGAAAAAAATCAGTTTATAGATTTCATTTTGTGAGTCAATTTCAAAAATAGCTAACCTTAAGCCATAAATGCCATATGACTGATCAGATTCAGAACTCCAATTAATGTATTATATAATTGATTAATTAATTTGATCATTTTAATGCATTTGCTATTGTTAGTGAGCAGCGAACAGTAAACAGGAAGTTACGTGTCAGATTAAATGACAACAGATTTACAGTGATCACGCACGTGGACTTCTTATTACAATAACTTTATGATCCTCTGCAATGAAGAAGACTGCAAATAGTCATGGCTGGTCAAAGGTCGGGAGGCCTGTTTACCCAAGACTTCAGCTTATCATTAATTACAAAGCTAGTTATTTATTGAAAGATATACGGAGAACTGTTCGAATGCTTTTTAATGGCGGTTTGGATAGCTAACTTTGACATTTTAATTTTTTAATTAAGGAAAAAAAATCAATTGAATAATGAAAATTAATAATAAATGTAGGTCCAAAGTAATGGCTTAAGAACGGTTTGACCTAAAAATATCAAAATTGAAAATACTGTGGAAACAAAGACACCTACATCTTGGATGCCCTTGAGGTAAGATAATACATATCAAAAATTAATTTCAAAGTGAACTATCCCTTTAAGGTCCAACTAAATTGCTCTGGCATTTGTAAATAAATAAATATTAGCCACTGTTCTCTTATATTAATGTTTTTTTTTTTTTTTTTTTTTTTTTATTTTATTTCAGGCAATGGCACAAAAGTACAAGGCAGACAAAATGTTTGTTAAGTCATACAGTGCAAAAAGAAACAAGAAACAAACAAAAAAACAACAACAAAAAACAAACAAAAAAAAACAAAAAAACAACAACAAACAAAACAAATCGAATTCTACCTGAAAGGGAGTGGGAAGAAGAAAACTTATTTAATCCCACCCCAGTTCACCACTTGGTGATTAATACATTAAGCTTCATGTTTACTTTGGTCACGGATTGACAGACTTATGGTTGCATCGCCCCTAGACCTCTGTCATCATGAACATGGAAAAAAACCTTTAAACATCTAATGACACAAATGAAAAAACCAACAAACTTTAAGCCGTTCAAATGTTGACTTACAACACACGATTATAGTTTATACTCTTATTATATACAGAAATGTACCATGTTTATTTTTCAGACAGTTTAATATAACTTTCAAAACAGTCAACAGTAGCGGTCACAAAGACAACCTCCACAATAGTGTTTTTTTATAACGTTCAAAAAGAGAAAAAAATAGAGAGAATATTGTTAATGGCGCACTCACAGCAGCATTCATTGGTTGTTTGAGTATTATAAGTTAATACAATCCAAAGTATTATAATATCATAAATCCTGTAGTGTGTTATTGGATTTAAATGTCGATAATGTTACCCGTTAAAACTTTGAAAAGGAACCATATCATCAAAGGGTAAAAAATTATTTTGATATCCCTGTAATTCTGGGATTTAATTTACTGTAATAATTGTGAATTTGGAACATAACGTGATTTAAAAAATTACAAGATTTCAAAGTACCTTATGCTTTTGATGTCATAAACCGATCGCTATGTGCAGCGCCTGTAGCCTGTCAATCACGTTGAAATAAGCCCCGCCTATATATTTGCTTATCCAATCAGACGAAAAGCAGCACTCCCACCTTCACGAGCTTGTCAATCTTGAGTAAATAAACCCTCCTACAGACAAGGCGGAGGACACGTCCACTCGGAGAGATTTCTGCAGTTCTGCATGTAAAATAGTCTCGAATGAGTTTTTCATGTAAGTTTGCCTTTTAAAACATCTTTGACAACGCTGTCTTGTGCTAAAGACATAAATAGACATTGGTAATGGCCTCTGAACGCGAGCATGATGATCCATTCCAGCGAGTTCTGCTTCAAATCGGTGGGAAAAGTAACATTCATTTAGTATGCGCGGTGAGCGGACCTGAAGGAGACACTGGCATTTTTCAGGACTTTATCGCTGATATGTTTAACAGCGGGGAGCATGATGAAATCCACGACTGTATTGGCAATAGTAACGGCGAAATCAAAATCCAAACAAACGTCTGCATTCCCGACCAATCAGAACAAAGTTCGTCTATTCCTGATGATCGACGCACCAAACCAGACCCACTCGAGAATAAAAGCGTGAGTTCAAGCAGAAACGTCGGCGGCAAGCAGAGAGCCATCCAATGCTCCGTGATCATATTCATCTTCAGACACGAGTATGTGTGTGAGAAGGAGAACGAGGTGTGTTTGAGGGAGATCCTGAAGGACGTGAGAGCTCGCTTAAAGAGAAACGCGCTCCGCCCGGCTCTGCTGGGACTCGTCCACTCGGACAGCGATCGATCTGACAGCCGCGCGTCAGTGGAACTACTGGACCGATCAATGCGATCAGTGTTTATCAATCACCCCCAACAGGCCATATGGACCGGCCGGTACGTCTCAAAGTGCCCGGATTTGTTGCAGGAGATCAGATGGAGCACCTGCCGGGCTGTGAAGTCCTCAATGTCTGCAGGTTAGACGCTCAACACAGTGCACTGTTTGGCCGTCACTTTACTACGGAGCCGGCTTAAAGGGACATGGTGAATAAAAAAAAAAAGAAGTGCTTCTGCGTTCCCTCGAGAAACTTTGCGTTCGCTCGCAAAGAGATCAAAAGTAGGGTGGCAGCTCAAAGTGCTGGAAATACAAAAAAAACACCCGAAAATTAAAGGGATAGTTGACTTTGAAATTCATTTTTGGTATGTTTTAGCTTACTTCAAGGGCATCCAAGATGTAGGTGTCTTTCCGCTGTAGTTTCAATTTTGATATTTTTAGGTCAAACCGCTCTTGTCCTTCAGTCATATAATGGAGGTCTATGGTCACCACCTCAAAGAGCATCCACAGACTTTCTAATTTGGATTTCTCTGTGCACAGTCTTTAAGGTGGTGACCATAGACCTCCATAATTTAAGATATAAACTTAAAAGACTGACTTTTTTGCTGCAATTTTGACTTCATAACTTGCGATTTTTACTGTATAACTTGCAATTTTGACTTTTTTATCACACAACTCTGACTTTATTACTATTGTGAGTTTATCACGCAATTCTTATTTTATAACTCGCAATTGTGCGTTTATTTCACACAACTCTGACTTTATAATTTGCAATTGTGAGTTTATATCACGTAACTCTGACTTTATAATTCACTATTGTGAGTTTATATCATGCAACTCTGACTTTATAATTTACCATTGTGAGTTTATATCATGCAGCTCTAACTTTATAATTTTCCATTGTGATTTTATATCACGCAATTCTGACTTTTGATATTTTCAGGTCAAACCGTTCTTGTCTGTCAGTCATATAATGGAGGTCTATGGTCACCACCTCAAAGAGCATCCACAGACTTTCTAATTTGGACTTCTCTGTGCACACTTTTTAAAGTGGTGACCATAGACCTCCATAATTTAAGATATAAACTTAAAAAATGACTTTTTTCTGCAATTTTGACTTTATAACTTGCAATTTTGACTTTATATCACGCAACTCTGACTTTATAATTTACTATTGTGAGTTTATATCATGCAATTCTGATTTTATAACTCGCAATTGTGTGTGAGTTTATATCACGCAACTCTGACTTTATAATTTACCATTGTGAGTTAATATCACATAATTCTGACTTTATTATTCAAAATTGTGATTTTATATCACGCAATGAATTCTGACTTTATAACTCGCAATTGTGAGTTTATATCACTCAATTCTGACTCAAACTCTGAACCCGTCACTCACATCAGATCCAGCAATAGCAAACCCCAATAATCCAATCAGTTCCCTGTAGAATAAATCAAGCTATTGTTCCTGTAGGCGTTTCACTCAGACATGTCACAATAGTGAAGAAAACACTAGCGCAACTTTCATTGAATGCTGAATTTAAGGTCCACCCCTAAACCTAACCCTCAGTGGGGCGTAAGCAGATCATACAAAATTGTGCGAATGAGATGTACAAATTCATACGAATTAGTCCCCAGTTTGCCAAAACTTAAAGTAATTATGAAATGTTTTTAGATTGCTGCGTTACGCGCAAGACATGGTTTCCCGGGACATTTAACATAATTTAACAAAATCAAACTCACTCATAATACTCATCTAATTCTCATATACAGACTCTTTATACTTGTGCTCTTGCAAACTATTAAAACTTCAACTTTCCTAAATAAAGACTGAAAGATTTTATTTAGGAAATCTTATTAAAGATTAACTTCAGAGTTGCACGATTAATCTTTAAAAGATCGCAAAAACTTTTGCTGATAATTTACTCACCCCCATGTCATCCCAGATGTCCATGTCTTTCTTTCTTCAGTCGAAAAGAAATTAAGGTTTTTGACTTTTCTCCATATAATGGACTTCAATGGGAACCAAACGGTTCAAGATCCAAAAGACAGTTTCAGTGCAAACTGTTCAAAGGGCTTTAAACGATTCCAGACGATGAAAAAGGGTCTTATCTAGGACCCTTCGAGTCATGACTCAAAAAAAGATTCATTCATTTTGATGAACGAGTTTGAACAGGAGAGTCACGAACGCTCATCACAGAACAGAGCAAGGCGACCATTTGAGCTTATAAAACTTAAACTTTGTTATTTATTTATTAAATGAGCGATCGTTTCGCTTGATAAGACCCTTATTCATCGTCTGGAATCGTTTAAAGCCCTTTGAACAGTTCGCACTGAAACTCTCATTTGGACCTTGACCTGTTTGGTTCCAATTGAAGTCCATTATATGGAGAAAATCCTGGAATGTTTTCATCAAAAACCTTAATTTCTTTCCGACTGAAGAAAGAAAGACATGGACATCTGGGATGACATGGGGGTGAGTTTTTAAAAGTGAATGACTCCTTTAAGTGTTCAAACTGACTGAAGCTTCTTACCTTGACACGAATGTTTATAAAAAAAATACAATCAGCTGTATATATCCATAATGAGTAGGTTGTTGTCACAGCTCCTCTGTTCACGCGTCACATGATTTGGGAAATTATAATGCCTGGAGGCCCCAGAAGACGGAGAGGAAGAAAGCAGGCTTTGAATGACTCGTTCCTCTGGCCCTTCTCTGTGTTGCAGAAAGCGGCGCTGGCAGGAAGAGCGGCTTGTTCTGGCCCCTGAAATGTTTCCCAGGACTGTTCAGGAAGCGGCACAGAGGACAGGCGGACCTCAACACCAACAGTATGACAGTCATTTGCATTCGCTTTCAAAAACACAGTTGTTTCTCTATTGATTAATTGCGCAATCTTTGCTCTTGCAGCAAATCCAGATCCGGCTGAAGAAGCAATGGCCCTGCAGATGAAGCCCTCGGCACAGTGACGCTCCGGGACAGGTCAAGCCTCACACTGCGCGCGCGTGTGTGTGTGTGTGTGTGTGCTCTACTCAAGTCATGTACTCTTGCACTGTACCTCCCCGGTGGAGGAATGAAGGAAACACACGATACAAGATGGATATCAGCGGGACATCTCCCTGCTATCTCTGAAGCGTAGAGAGGAGTTTATTAGCATTAAATCATCTATCGGGACAATTGCTGAACACTGTGAATGACTAATGTATTAATTGATGTTATTATAAATAATCAAAACACTTTATTGAATCTTAATCAGGAAGTTTTGCACTATTCCCTCATGTGATTCTGAACTAACCAAAGGAAATTAATTGCTCTGGTCATAAACCATAATGTTGAATACATGAATAAAGTCACCATGAAATCAAAATGGACAAATCCTGTTTGTTTGTTTGTTTTTATTTATCTTTATTTATTAATGCGCCCTCTTATTAATTTCTTCTCGCTTTTCTCTGATGACGTTCACTGGCGTGAGGGTGGGGCAATCTGTCAATCACGTGAATAGATAATTATGACTGGGTACATCATCATTTTGTTTAATCTCAGATGATCGAGTACGTAATATTATGACTTTATAATCTCATGATTTCAACTTTTCGTCGCATAATTGACATGAAAAGTGGGATGTTCGTCCCCGTAAACGGCCGGAAACGAACCATAACGTAGGCTATACATGGAGAGCTCGCGGAGGTGCTAATGGCTCTATGAATAGACCATTTCACAAGATGTAAACAACACTGGTCCAGAAGCACTTCCTGTTTCAGTTTGTAACTGTTTTCTTTATTTCACATGTAAAGAAAACATCTTAAAGATGTTTGTTTAACTTTTTGATTCAGTTTTAAATGTTCTGTTGGTTGTATTTTATCCCAGCTTTTATGTAGTGTTAAAAAAACTGAAACAGGAAGTGCTTCTGGACCAGTGTTGTTTACATCTTGTGAAATGGTCTATAGCAGCGCTATTCCTTTTACATAAGAAAATCATAATTTGCATATTTTGTGTAATAAGTTTGACTTTTTATGTCATAATTAAGATTTAAAAACGCATAACTTTCTTTCTAATGTGGTGGAAATGGGCTTCCATAGATTCTTGTTAGTTAAAACGGATTTTATTTATACGTAGGCCTACGTACTGCTTACAGAATTGGCTAAACAATATTTGGGATTTTGTGATGGCTGTTTGCGATCTGAACTACTAAATGAATGTTATTGAATGAATTACTCTTTTGAGTCGGTTCTTTTAAGTTGATTGATCACACCAGACAGCAGTCGGTTTGTGATTCAGAATGATTCAAACGGATGACTCGCGCACTGAATCGGTTCGGTGAGCTTCTCACAGTGGTGCCACTCACCCCGGGGCCGCTAGGGGACACTTCTAAATAACGGGCCTCAAAGTAACTCAAAATTATGAGTTAGCCTACTAAAACCACTCAAATAAACATAGTGTAAACTGGCATTTTTTTTTTTTTTTTAATTTCTTATTACAAATTATTCCATTTCCACCACATAAAAAATGCTTTTGGAAATCATAAATGACACAAGAGATGGGCTACTACGTCATGAGATATTTGTCATTCATCTCATAATTTCAGATTTTTATCTCATTATTTCCACTTTTTATCTCTTATGATGACTTAGGATGTCATAATTATTACTTTTCATGTCATTATTTTAACTTTTCTGTCAGAATTTTGAATTTTATCTAGTTTTTTTTTTTTTTTTTTACCTTCAAATGGTCTTCATTTCCTGTTTACGCTTTGGGCTTCGGGGTCTGTACGACCCCTACAATTGATTGAGTAATTTAAACAAAAAAAACATTTTTAGTCATAAAATAATATATCTTTTTTCTCATCTATTCATTAATACTGTGTTTTTGGAGATATAAAGTACTTTTGTATCCATATACCACACAAATCCTCAACTACATCATTAGCTTGCATATTAATTTTTTTTTTTTTTATCATACATTGCATTTATCCTCTAGTACTAGGCCTTCATTTTTGTGTAAAAGTTTTCAGATTTATGCCAATTTTTTTTTTCCTTGTGTTTTCATCTATTGTATTAACCTTATACCGATCCAACATATACTGATGTGACGTGCTTGCTTTAAGCTGCATTAAAGGATCATACAAAATGTATGTCAAGGTTCCATATTTTGTAACAGAAGTGATATTTGGACAGAAATGTATTAATTTGTTACAGGAGAATGCATACAACTAAATTCAATGGAATTTATGTCATTTTTGGTATTACGCCTATAAACAAAATCTCATGAGAACTTCAATTTCAACTTCAAATTTGGAACACAATTTGGTTAGATATATGGCTTTGATTTTATAGGAAAAAATATTTTGTAAAATATATATTTTATATAAAAGAAAAAATATTTAGTACAGTATATTTGATATAATGTAAATTTAAAACTTCAATAACTTTTTCATACTTTTATTTTTTGAAGTGTTTTTACTTCAGCAATAATCTGCTGAGTGTTTTCTTTAAAACAAGACCAAACTTAGGTCTTTATTCCAAAACTTGAATTACAACCAAGTTTTAATAGTGCATTGTAATGGAGCATGTTTTTGAAAAATTATTAAAAATATACCTAAGTTTTTTCATAGTACCAAGTAACATCATTTCGTAAAGTTAAGGCTCTTACAGTGTAATATGTAAAAAAATATATACAAATAAAAATGTGCTTAGCTTGCAAAATTTCACCAAAAACAGTTCACATGGCTGGGGTGATTTATTTGTTAGAAGTATTGTGACAAGTGCTGTTGATTGACACTGTGACATCTAGTGGATTTTTTGGGCATAATATACCTCAACCAGATGATAGAGATGGATCAGTCAGTTTGAGTAAAGTTAGGTACTCCTCTCAGTTAAATATAGTGACTCAAAATGTGTATGGTTGAGAAGTCAGTTAAAGGGTTAACACAATTTTGAATAGTTGTTCTCAAATTAATCCTGTCAAACCCAATTACTCTGACCTTAAATATAAATATTGTTATTAAATAGTACTAGAAATATATTTTATTTTATTATGAAGTGAAAGGATGAGGTTAGATGTTTAAACATTATAGAAAACAATACTTTTTCCCGCTGTGAGCATTGACAAGAGTTCAGCTTCATTCGAATTCGAAAAGGGCGTCTGGGCGAATGGAATCTTTGACGTCACAGAGAGTTTGACCGTTTTGTGCGCAGTTTCAATTAAACAGTGTCGCCCGTGTGAAACCACAAACCGTCGGTCTTCGCGTTGTTTATTCTGCAGTTTATTTGATAAAGTTTTCGAAGTGGTCAACTGTTATCATGTCTCTGAAGAGAAAGTCCCCCGCTGAGGTGTGCGACGCCCATAGGAGCACACCCTCAACATCCAGCACCGACGCGGCTGAAAAGCATCAACCGGCATTGGAGGAAAATGAGGCGCCGTTGAGAAAGAGGACGAGGACGGATAGTTTTGAGAAGCTGCCGTCTCTTCATCATCGTGACTCCGGCAGCTCAGACCAGAGAAATGAGAGAAGTGCTGAGGGTAAATTAAATGACCATTACAAATCCATCCACACCACCACGCATTACGTCAAAATTAAACTTATGTTTTTATGTATTATTTATCCCAAGACATGTCTTAAATATTTGAACAAGTTTTGAACAACGTTACAATTGTACAATGTACAGTTGGGTATGCAGTGTGTAATTATTATTTATTTCACACGGACTGTTTACATATTGAGCTGATGTTTTTTATCCAAAGCATCATTTATTTGAAACATGCTTTTGTTTGATATTCCCTGCTTTAGATCCAGATTCTCTACCGGACAGCGCCTGTGCTCTAACGTTAGAGGATCACGGTCTTATGGAACATCTATCCAGTGGACTTGAAGTCCTTCCTCCTGTAGATCCGCAGGGTCAAACCCCTCCAGGACCAGTCCACCACAGTCCAGTTCAAACCCCTCCAGGACCAGTCCACCACAGTCCAGTTCAAACCCCTCCAGGACCAGTCCACCACAGTCCAGTTCAAACCCCTCCAGGACCAGTCCACCACAGTCCAGTTCAAACCCCTCCAGGACCAGTCCACCACAGTCCAGGTCAAACCCCTCCAGGACCAGTCTACCACAGTCCAGCTCCAGATCCCCACAGTCCAGCTCCAGGACACACTGTGGACGTGACAACTGAGGGTGAGTTTACCGGCATATCTCAAATATTACTCTCACTGCTGTCCATGCTTGTCATTTCATGTCAACTATAACCATTAATCTTTTAACAGACGACATTCTGAGCCGGTTTGAAATCGGTAAATTGCTTGGTGAGGGAGGATTCGGCTCGGTTTATGAAGGGAAACGCTTGGCGGATGGCCTTGAGGTATAGTCATTTTCTTACTTTTAGCAATTTAGCAAATTGTTTTGTCTCACTATGTCCATTTCAAGTCCTTTTATTGTATATTATGTTCACTATGTGGTGCAGTTGTAATTGTAATGGGCTAAATGTTTTGTTTTGTTGATCAGGTGGCGGTGAAATTTGTCAAAAAAAAAGAGGGCATGAAATACATCAACATTGTAAGTTAGAACTTGAAAACATCACATTTTTCCAAAACTGGACATACATTTTATTCTAAAATCCTGCAACTAACAATGATCTTTCTTCCAGCCCCATCATGCTGCACCCGTCCCATTAGAGATCGGCCTGTTAGCCATTGTTAATAGGGGCCTCAAAATTAAAGAGGTCATTGAACTGCTGGACTGGCAGGACCAGGCTGACCGATATATCATGGTCTTGGAGCGTCCCCCAAACTGCATGGATGGGTTTGATTTTTGGGCTCAACAGGATTACATGTTCAACGAGGAAACGGCACGGACCATCATGAAGCAGGTGACAATGGCTGCTCAAATGTGCTGTGCCAAAGGAGTTTTCCACAGCGACATCAAGTTGGAGAACCTGCTGATCAACCCAGAAACACTTGAGGTCAAACTGATCGACTTCGGGTGCGGGAGACTCATGCAAGTGATGGCCTATGACGTCTTCAGTGGTATGTGTTATGAATCAAGCTTTGAAAAGAGTTTCATTTTTTAGGGCTGTCAAACGATTAATCGCACTCAGAATAAAAGTTTGTGTTTACATAATAGATGTGGGTGCACTGTGTATAATTATTATTTATATATAAATACACACATATGCTAGTATATATTTAAGAAATATTTTCATGTATATACTGTATATAGATTTATATATAATTTATATTATATATAAATATAAATATTTTACATATAAATAATTTTTTTTTCTTAAATATACATGCATGTGTGTGTATTTATATATATATATACAAAATAATTTATTAATAATTAACATTGCTGAAAAAGTTGCCCGTGTATCATCACCCAGAGAAAACATGCTATGGGATTTCAAGCTTAACCAACAGACAAATCTCTTTCTAGGCACACACGAGTACTGTCCACCGGAGTTCAGCAGATGGGGCAAGTACTACGCTAAATCAGCTACTGCGTGGTCTCTGGGAATGGTCTTATTCGAAATGCTGTCTGGACACCTTCCAGGATCCCAAGAGATGGACAAGATTAATGATGACACCTGGTCTGATCCTCGCTTGTCAAACGGTAAAGTGGCATTCATCACAAAACCATAATCAGTTTTAAATCACCAAAATAGAACAAATGAAACAAAGAAGTAACAGTAGTAAAAGAAAAGAAGTAAAAGAAGTAAAAGTGTTTCCCCGTACAGTATAGCGTAGTCTAATCTTACAGTTTAATAGAAAGACAGCAGGTGTAAAGTTTATGGTCTCTTCACAGAATGCTGCGACCTGATTCGACGCCTCCTGCAGAGAAAACCAAGACAACGGATGGGTTTGGACAAAATCATGTCCCATAAATGGTTTAAGGTACTGACCCTAATAAGCTACAAATGAATTTGGATTTACAGGTGAAACTCGGAAAATTACAATATCGTGCATTTATTTATGTAATTCAACTAATATATGATAGAGACTCATTACATGCAAAGTGAGATATTTCAAGCCTTTATTTGTTATAATTGTGATGATTATGGCTTACAGATATGAAAACCTTTTAATTTGGGGTTTTCATAGGCTGTAATCCATAATCATCAAAATTATAACAAATAAAGGCTTGAAATATCACACTTTGCATGTAATGAGTCTATCATATATTAGTTGAATTACGTAAATAAATGAACTTAATAAATGAGTTTCACCTGTATAATAATATTTGGAAGACACTTTTTTTGTTTTCTTACTAGGGCTGTCAAACAATTAATCACGATTGATCACATCCAAAATAAAAGTTTGTGTTTACATAATATATGTGGGTGCACTGTGTATAATTATTATATATATATAAATACACACACACGCTTGTATATATTTAAGAAATATCTTCATGTTATATTTTCCATATATAGATTTATGTTTAATTTATATTTAAATATTTTATATATAAATAATATTTTTTTCTTAAATATACATGCATGTGAGTGTATTTATATATATATATAAAATAATTATACACAGTGCACCCACATATATTATGTAAACACAAACTTTTATTTTGGATGCGATTAATCGCGATCACGAAAGCCCTAATATTAGTGTACTGTGAAACAGGAAAGGTCAAGGTCAAATCTCTTTAATGTTTTATGTATATCATCAACCTTTTAGAGAAGGAGAGCGCGATAGTCAGGAGAGACAGAAGAGGAAGAGTAGGTCAGAGCAGCAGCTGAGGTCAAGGTGAGAGACACGCTTGAGGATAAATCCACTGAATATCTGAGAATGTGTACATGTTTATTAGAGATCTGTACATCATAAAGTCTACATCATTTTCAGAAACATTAATGGAAACCTGGTGTCATTCATTACAATATGTAAAAAATCCACACCGTCACACATTTGATCAAAAATCAGTTGAAGTTCGATTAAGGTCATGATCAGATTTTAATTCCAGGGCGTGTCATTTATCTTTAAACACAGATGAAACCAAGCGGACATCCTTTATCATTGGCCAGAAGAGAAAACGAAGTTCCCGCAGTGCTCAGCGTTACGATCCTCAACATCCAGCACCGATGTGGCTGAAACACATCAGCATTTTTGTGTTGGTGAGGAAAATGAGTCTGAAGAGGAAGAGGACGGATCACCTTCATCACCTTCTGTGACCGGAGTGGCAGCGCAGACCGAGATACATGAGGGACATGCTGAGGGTAAGTCAAACTATTTTCTGTTTATTAGATCTCTGTACATCTGCATAATGTTCAGTTTCATTAATGCTATGCATTTTTAACCATAGTCAATGCAGATCCCCTCATGATTGCTAATCGGTCTGTAAATGAGAGTGGAGTCCCATATACCTGGAAAACTGGCATGCGACCCGCCAATTAATTAAACCAAGTAAGTGAAAACGTGTATTTCTGTTACTTTGAATAATGGCGAAAGGTTATTCTCCAATAATTTTTTTCCTCAAAACTTTGAAAACTTTGATTTTTTTTTTTTTTGCCGTCAAAACCCAAATTTAATGGCGTGGAGAAGATCCAAACTATTGGCACTGCTCAACTGTGTGAAGCTCTTCTAAACTAATCTTTCTGTAAAGGTTGTGGTGCTGACACGCTTGATTTGTGCTTGAGGTGTTTCCTCAGAGTCTCAGGGTGAAGTCAATACTGGTACACTGATAGTTTCCCGTTGTTTTTCAGAAGGATCATGACCGGCGGTACATGCACATTGGAACGATGGTGGAGTTTGCGTCGGCTTTGCTGGGGACTCTGGATGACATCAACAACCATTTCTTTAGTGACTTAGCACTTTCACACCCAACAACATATTGTTAAAGGGATACTCCACTTTTTTTGGAAATAGGCTCATTTGACCACTCCCCCAGAGTTAAACAGTTCAGTTTTACCGTTTTTGAATGTATTCAGCCGATTTTCTGATATTTAGAAGAATATCAGTAACCAGTATATCTTTATCCTACTATGGAAGTCAATGAGACCAGAAACGGTCTGGTTAATGATATTCTTCTAAATATCTGAAAATCGGCTGAATGGATTCGGTAAAACTGTAAAACTCGACTGAGGGAGTGGTAAAATGAGCCTATTTCCAAAAAAAGTGGAGTATCCCTTTAAAGCTGGATTAAAGACACATGTCTTAGCCCTAGCATACACATAATACATTATAGCATAGGCTTCTATAATTCAATGTTAGGCTGCATAGATTAGGACACTTAACTGTTACATCATAAGAAGAATGGCATCTACGCTAATTTAAGTTTCTCTGTTTATCCCGAGGTTTTCCCGCAGCCTGCCGGATCCAGGCCGTATCCAGATCTGACGAGGACCTTCGTCTGGACCCGATGACGACGACAACGACAACGCCGTGCTGAAGTGCCAACGAGCCTCTCCCAATGGAGGATCCCTTTCCCACTCTACAGATAACGCGTTTCCTGCCCTGATGTGATGAAATAAAACAAAACTCTGTATCAAATTTAGAGTTAGTCGTTTGTTCAGACTTCAGGTTTTAGGGAAACTTGCGCACATATATTCAAACACACATAACTATAGAATAAATTCTTAATGCGCATGTGAACGCCATCTGCGTTTATCACAAGATTAGCTTTTAAAGTCTGTTTAGAGACATTCACATACATTTTTACCTGACAGTTCCTGTAAATCCGGCCTCTAGTTCATAAACGCCAGAGGAGAGCTGTACCGACTGAGCCTGGGTTCAACCAAGGGGTTTTTTTCTCTCCATTGGGTCACATGATGGAGTTATGTGACCCAATGGACCATAGACGATCTGGACCAACGAGATTCGTTGAGATTAATGAATCTATTCATTTATTAATTTATTTGAGGTGAATTTATTGAGGATTTATTTTGATCTATATATATATATATTCGGAAATTATGATTACTTATAAATTATATATATATTTTAACGAATTGTCAAAGCTCAGGCTTGTCATGTATCTGGCTTTTTTTTATTCTTGTATAAGAATTGTGAAGACACCAATGCTGAGATATAATTTATTTTCACATTAAATAAAATAAAGTTTTCTCATTGTGTGGAAAGCATTTTCTGTGATTGACCCGATTTGGACTCTGATGGATCCGTTATGGTAATGATATGGTACAACAACAGTGCAATGTAGTAGTAGTCAATTAAAAAAAAAAGCATACAGCAAATTAAATAGTAATGAATAGTATAATTATATAATATTACAAGTAGCCTACATACAGTGAAGAGAATGTATATATAAATAATTTATTTAAAAATATTCCTACATAGGCTATAAAAAAAAAAAAAAAAAATCACAGCCCTGTCTCTTTTTGTCTTTTGTGAGACCAAAGATCGCCCGTTAGAAATACACAAGACGAATTATATCTCATGTTTAAACACTAGAGACATCTGAGCCAGCGGCAAACGTCAGAAGCACTAGCCGATCCAGATATAGCACAAGCCGATTTGATGTGATTTTTACATCTGGAAGACGTATTTTTAAGAGTGTTTGTTCATCTGCAATACGTCTATAGGACGTCTCTTGTCAGATGTCAAATAGATGTTTAGAGGATGTCAGTTTAACATGCATTCTAAATCATTACATCTTAAAGACATCTTCTAAATGTCTATTTGACATCTGACAGGAGACGTCTATGCAGATGAGCAAACACTCTTAAAAATACGTCATCCAGATGTAAATATTACATCATATACTTCTGGGAAAGGTGCGCCCGCTGCACCTCAGAAAACGTCAGATCAAATTTTTAAATAGGTGCTATCTTTATAAATAAGCCACATATTTGAGCTTTAAACAACTACATTGTCAACTGAAAACTATTAAAACTACATTTTGTGACATAATAGTATTTTTAAATTTCACTGCCTTTCTCCATCATGACCAAATACAACCAAAAACAAATGTTCAGTCTTGCTTGTGAAATATAATTCCTCGAGACCAGTTTTTAGTTGTGTGGTAATTTGTACAGCCACAAGAAGCACACGAAAAAGGCATGTATCTCAATTGTAGTTATGAGAAGGATGAGAAAGTTGCCCTCCGCAATATGGCGGTGCCGTTGACGTGCGCTCCAGCGGCGTATTTATTATGTCTATGTTAGGAACCACAGCAGTCACTGAAGAGCCACTGACGGGTTGGCCGCTTCAAAGCCTGTCTGAAAACAATTACTACATGCCTTACACATCTAATATATATTATTTTGAAAATAATTGATACTACCCATAAAAGAATAACTGTATAATATTTGCTTATCACCACCTTTGTGTGTTCTGTAGCGAGTGATTTTATACTAACGTTAAATGACGTATTTTCAGGCGTAGTTTGCGGCGCGTCCCCTAGAAGCGCTCATTCAGTCCGACGAGTTTGTGCCGCTGCTGTACTAGCAGTTGATCGCTCGAGCTCCCACAGTTTCATTGAGAGTCAAGTAGACTTTATTCTTCTTAATACTGTTTTTGTGTTTAAATCATTGTGCTGGAGGAGATCCAGTGACCGTCGCAAGCAGACATGATCACTTCAGCCGGTGAGTGAGCGCGAGTAACCGACAGAGAGTGCTTGATTTAGCTGAGTCACACAGCTAACGGCTAACACGCCGCTCAAGCTCGACGAGCTTCAGAACCTTATCTGTGTTTAATGCAAATATATTTTCAATTATAAGTCACGTTATGCTACTACATGTACTACATTAGAGCCTAAAGGCGGTGGTGTTGGTGTAAAGGTTTGTTAATGTCATTTCTCGTGGTGTTTTTCACTGCTGTGGTTTGTTTACAAAGGCAAAATACCGTGATTTTTGAAAAGTAGATCTGTTATGTGTCTCAACATTGTTTTGACTATATTAATAATATCAAAAAGTCATTTATATGTTAGTTTTAATTAAAACTCATGTCTGAGGTTGTTATTCAGCAGATCTTTCATGTCACTGTTGCTACTAAACGTTAGCTGTGTATACACACACATACACTGTAGTCAACATTATATACAGTATTCAACATTATATATATTTATTATATACATATATACACACATGTAAATAGACAGAAATGAGGATAAGCCTGTCTCTACTGTACTGATGGATGGTTTGCTGTTTTGTAGCTGGTATCATTTCCCTCCTGGATGAAGATGAGCCACAGCTCAAGGTACAGGATCTACTCAAACAAACAAATATATGCGTATCATATGGATCTGGTTTTTAACAATATTTTGTTCTTTTTAAGGAGTTCGCCCTACACAAACTGAACTCCATTGTCAATGACTTTTGGGCAGAGATCTCTGAGTCCGTTGACAAAATGTAAGTAGGCGTTCGCCCCAAAATTGCCATACATATGAAGAAAATGTACAAATATTTCTGTATTTTCTAACCTGAAAAGTATAACCCATGTGAATTGCATAAATCCAAGAAAAACATATTATTGTAAATTTACTCTAAAGTATTAATACTTGTTTTTATTGTGAGTAATATTATGCTGCTAATAATGAACTAATTTTGTATCTTGTCTAGGGATGGGCAACGATTAATCGCATCCAAAATAAAAGTTTGTGTTTACATAATATATGTGTGTGTAGTGTGTATAATTAATTTGTATATATAAATACCCACACATGTATGTGTATATTTAAGAAAAATGTGCTATAAATAAATCAAATATTTATATTTTATATAATATTAATTATGTATAAATATATATAAAGTATATACATGCAAATATTTCTTAAATATATACATGCATGTGTGTGTATTTATATATACAAATTAATTATACACACTACACTAAACATAAACTTTTATTTTGGATGCGATTAATCGTTGCCCATCCCTATTATTGCAGAAGTAATATTCCCAATAATATTAATATAATATATTATTTTAATTATTTTTATTTTACAGTGTAAACTGCTATTGCAATAGCAATATTTCTTTATTGGCTTGAGTAATTAAGTAAAGTATTTAAGTGAAAATAATTATGATGCTTACAATAATTATTAAATGTTTTTTTTATTACTGTACTTACAATTGCATTTTCCTAATTGATTTTTTAAATTAAATAATAAAATAGAAAAATATTATTATTATACAATTAATTTATTTTATTTTACAGTACAATAATATTATTGCAAATAAATGCACACATAAAATATTTATATTTTTATATAATATAAATTATATATAAATCTATATACAGTATATACATGCAAATATGTCTTAAATATATACATGCATGTGTGTATTTATATATAAAATAATTATACACAGTGCACCCACATATATTATGTAAACACAAACTTTTATTTTGGATGCGATTAATCGTTTGACAGATTTATATATAATTTATATTATATATAAATATAGATATTTCATATATAAATTATATTTTTTTCTTAAATATACATGCATGTGTTTATTTATATATATATATATATACAAAATAATAATTATACACAGTGCACCAACATATATTATGTAAACACAAACTTTTATTTTGGATGCGATGTTTTTTTTCACCCATATTAAATAGGGAACCCTATTCAATTGTCCTGTAGTTTGATGAGGTACTTTCTTTCATGGTACACAAAAATAAATGATAAACAATATCCGAGTTGATATTTTCTCTAATATCGAAAGCATATTATTTTACAGAGAAGAGCAGCCAGTCTACTTCCCTCTTATTATTTGAAATGAATTGTCAGTGGCATGGAGACGTTAATAAGCTCATAGATACGAGTGTTGTGGCTGCTAATGAGATGTTGTCCTGTCTCAGCGAGGTCCTGTACGAGGATGAGACGTTTCGCAGCCGAGAGTTCGCTGCACTGGTGGCGTCTAAAGTCTTTTACCACCTCGGTGCCTTCGACGAGTCTTTAAACTACGCGCTGGGCGCTGGAGATCTCTTCAACGTCACCGACGACTCCGAATATGTGGAGACCATCATTGGTAAATCATCAGCTTATTCCCAAGTTTTCAGCATTGATAATAATCAGATGTTTCTTCAGCAGCTTTTTGATCAAATAAATGCTAATGAGTGTATTGTTTCGTCCATCAGCCAAGTGTATCGATCATTACACCAAACTGCGCGTTGAGAACGCCGAGCTGCCAGAGGACGAGGAGAAGAAAAGCATCGACCCTCGTCTGGAGGGAATCGTCAACAAGATGTTCCAGCGCTGCCTGGGGGATCACAAGTACAAACAGGCCATCGGCATCGCGCTGGAGACCAGACGCTTGGACATCTTTGAGAAAACCGTCCTGGAATCTGTATGTTGCTCATCCGCAGTCTTACTGAATATTGCTGGATCGTAGTGTCGTTGAGGTCATCGTTTAACAGTGAAGTCTGCGGTTTATGAGTGTACGGTATAGCGAAATATTGCAGTTTGAGGGAATGCATTGACTGAATGGACATGCAAATTAATTCCCTGACATTAGATGGCGCCGATTTGCTCTGCAATACCACTCCATAACAGTTTTCTTTTATCAAGATGTTAGTAGTCGCTGTCGCGTTTGTCATATACGGCGACGCTACTTGGCGTAGATCTTCTTCACCGTTACGTATTTGTGCTCGCCAAGACCGTTTTGTGTTTGAGCAGTTGTGTTTTACTGTAACTTCAGAAGCTCCAAACACGTGAGCAAAAGCGCCAATTTCATTGGTCGGATAGTTTTTGACGTGGCACGCCAAACTAAAAAAACGAACCCGAGGCGTTTTTTAAAAATGCTGCTTTTACGCGTGGCGGTGTCAACACCCACATTGGCTCCCATTGTTTAGTGATTCGTCGGTGTTAAAAGTCGACGAATAACGCGCGCGAAATTCGTCCCGGTGCGAACAAGCCTTTAGTTTACAAAGATGTTAAACTCACCGAGTGGTCTGGGGTGTTCACTGATATCCTCACACAAAAATCGCTGCAAAAGATGCTTTCCAACAGGTTTTATCGTAATTTTTGTCCGACTCCGTTGACTTGGGACAAAAACTACGATATAAAACCTTAATGGACAAGTTCGGTATTTTACAATTAAAGCCCTGTTTTAAGATCGTCCCTGATGAAATAGAATAGTTAAGATTGTTTTTTAGACAGATGCTCCTGTCACAAGAATTTTTGGATTCTGTGTTAGCACCCCCCCACCTTTACAACGGTAGCATAGGTGCACTCGAACAATCATTCATTAAAACGCATAAAACTTTAGTTTACAAAGATGTGAAACTCACCGAGTGGTCTGGGGTGTTCACTGATATGCTCACACAAAAATCGCTGCAAAAGATGCTTTCCAACAGGTTTTATCGTAGTTTTTGTCCATTTTCTTCCTGTTTTTCGGTCGAAGTCCACAGTAGTCGATTGTCGTGCGCGATCCTTAGTTATCTAGTTACCAATGATCGCGCACGCAAACTCGACAATTTACTATTGTGGACTTCGACCGAAAAACAGGAAGAAAATGAAGTCGGACAAAAACTACGATAAAACCTGTTGGAAAGCATCTTTCGTGATGTAAATGTTTCGCGGTAATACTTGCGTCGTCATGGTTACTGGTGTGCATGTAAACGTGCTCAATGATACAGCAAATCCACCTTTCACTGGCTGGATCCAGTTGTTTCTGTGAGTTGCAGCGATCCATTCGAGCGATCCATTTGCTTCTCTGTTCAGTCTGTGAAAATAACCTCAGATTCTTGTCAAACCTAGTTGTACAGTCTCTTTCCCGTTTTAGATGTGTGTTTCGCGGCATTCACACTGAAAACCAATGCTGTGTGACCGCAGTCACTCTGGCCGATGGCGACGTCACGCGCATAACCTCTATTGTCATATCACAGTGTGCAACGTAATGAACTACATATATGCGCTGTCAGTTTCAGAGTGAAGCGTGGCATTTACACACCTGATGTCACGAGCTGCACGTGTATAAATGAACACAGTGCCGAGCTTCACTCTGAAATCAGCAGTGCAGCCCGTCAAAATAAAAGCTCAGTGATTATCTTTTGACAATTAAAACAAAATGTAAGTGTGTTAAATTAAAATAAATCACCGTGTGATCGTCAACGACTGGAGCTGAGTGAGTGGAGGCGGGGCTCATTTGCATATTCATAGAACCGCGTGTACTAAATGAGGCAAGGGTGTCGAGTTACATTCAAGTTGTTTTAAGGTGTGAAGACATTTTTTTGCAATTAAATATGTCATTTATGTCATTACAATTATTGGCTACAGGCGGACTTTAAAATGTAACATGTTGTGAACTTGTGGATGTGTTGTCGTAACTTCAAGGACTTTACAGCGTTCACCGTTTTACCATGTCTTGTTCTCCTACAGACTGACATTGGTGGATTGCTGGCCTACAGCCTGAAGATCTGCATGTCCCTCATGCAGAACAAGAAGTTTCGTAACGAAGTCCTCCGAGTCCTCGTCAAGCTGTACATGAACCTGGAGAAGCCGGACTTCATCAGCGTTTGCCAGGTGACCTGTCCTGAGCGCGCTTCAGCTTTACTGCGCATTCAGAGATTCCTCTCTAACATCTTTCTCCTCCATCACAGTGTCTGATTTTCCTCGACGACCCTCAAGCGGTGAGCGATATTTTGGAGAAGCTGGTGAAGGAGGATAACCTCCTGATGGCCTATCAGATCTGCTTTGACCTGTATGAGAGCGCCAGCCAGCAGTTCCTGTCCTCCGTCATTCAGAACCTGCGGACCGTCGGCACACCCATCCCCGCCGTGCCCGGATCCACCAACACGGGCACTGTGCCCACGCAGGAGAAAGACAGGTGGCCGTTTAACCTGTTCCATATTGGTGTATTCAATTCAATTCAAGTTTGATTGACAGGCAATCTGACCAATCATAATCCACCATTTTTGTGAAAGCAATCAGGAGAGTTGGAACTTGGAAAATGGAGGATTTGATCTTGAAAAATGGCGCATACTGACGTCTTTCTGCGGTTAAAACAACATTACTTCTGAAGTTTATTTAATGCTATAAGGAAGAGATGATTGGTTCACGAGCAGCTTTAACTGAGACTCTACAGCGATCTGTCAGACACATTAAAGAGCCACAACACAGTATTTATTGTTGAAATTTCTTTAAAAAATGACCAAATTTGAAAGTTGAGACTTTGTTTCATATCAAAAGTAACCTGGTCTGATCATTAAAATATTTATCATTTATTTGTCTGTTTTGGTGAGATTCAGCCTCTTAATCACTCTCAGTAACTGTCGGCCTTGAAAGAGTGAAATGTGCTGCGTTTTCCACATTAAAAATAATATATTTATGAGATGACATATTCTTTATATGTTCTATGTCCATATTTCAGTGACGCGATGGAGACAGAAGACAAAGCTGGAAGCTCTCCGGCTGGAAAGGCCGTGGAAGTGGTGAGTCTTCACTTTAAGTCTTTTAACTGGTCGGATATTAGGCTTGTGTAAAGTTTGTGTCTGTGTTTCTTCTTAGAAGGATGAGCCGAAAGACCAGAACTCAAAAATGATCAAAATATTAAGTGGGGAAATGGCCATTGAGCTGCACCTTCAGTTCCTCATTCGAAACAACAACACAGACCTGATGATTCTCAAAAACACCAAGGTGAGAAACCAGCGGATGACCTTTGACATCAGCTGGTGTCTTTTTTAGCATCGTGTTGGTGTACTTCAATAGCTAAGTATAGGTTTTATTCCTGATTCGTTTCAGGATGCGGTCCGAAATTCGGTGTGTCACACGGCGACGGTCATAGCGAACTCATTCATGCACACGGGAACAACAAGCGACCAGTTTCTACGGTACACTTTCTACATTCATGTGCTCACCAAGTGAAATGTGGCCTCTTGATGTGGAGTAAACTGAGAGGAGAATTGTCTCCTTTTTATTTTACAGAGAGAATTTGGAGTGGCTGGCGAGAGCAACAAACTGGGCCAAATTCACAGCAACAGCGAGTCTTGGCGTCATTCACAAGGTTAACGTTATCATATGCTCAAGGCACTTTACTTCTCTATCAGTCAGTCTCTGTTTGACATTTCTGCTTGTTTGCTTTAGATTTCTGTTTGTTTGAGTGTTTTAGATTTCTCTCTGTTTCAGATTTCTTTTTGTTTGTTTGTTTGTTTTGTTTTAGATTTCTGTCTGTTTCCGAATGACTTTTTGTCTGTTTCAGATTTCTGTCTCTTTTAGATTTCTGTGCTGTTTGTTTACATTTCTATTTTTGGTCTAGATTTCTTTCTGATTCAGAAGCCTGTTGTCTTAGATTTCTGTTTGTTTGTTTTCTTATTAGATTTCAGGTTTGTTTGTTTTGTTTTAGATTTCTGTTTGTTTGTTTTTAATTTCTGTTTGGTCCATTTTTGTTTGTTTTCGATTTCTGTTTGTTTCTGATGTTTTGTTTGTTTCGATATTGGTTTATTTAGATGTGTTTTTAGATATTTGTTACCATTACAAATTTTTAGATATTTAAATATTTTTAACTAAATTTAGACACCACAAACAAATGTTTCGGTGGTTTAGTAAAATCATGATTTTATTATGTCTATTTTGACATGATGAATTGATTTAATTCATAGTAATTCAAATAAATAGTTTTTACAGCAATGTTATAAAACATGGGTGATTCCTGCATTTAGGACTATTTGTTGAAAATGCCTGAAATATTTTTTTTGTCTTAAGGCACTACAGGTGAATAGGGTACAATTTTTACATAATAGATATCACCATGAAACTTCCTCAGTTGATTACTTGCACAAGTATTAAAAAAAATGAATTATAAGTTTTTTAAATTTGTATGTTTAGTTATGCAAATTATGCATTATCTCATTAAATATGCGCAATTTTGCATGTATTTTCGGTAGATAGATCTGAACATATGATAATTCTTTTTTCATTTTGTTTACACACAAGATGAAAAAAAAAGTTAAGGATATATGCTTTCATTACCTAGGAAATCAAAATATACTGTCCATACCCCTTAACAAATCGATTTTCACCATTTTATTTAATTAAAATGTCACATAAATCAGGCCAGGAATGATTTATTAACAAATCCCTCTGAAAATATCTACTGGGGAATGACAAACTCATTTTCAGAAAAAGGCATTTAAAGATGTAAGTGGAATTTTAATACATTTCTATTGGCAACAAATTGCTCAAAAACAGAATAAATGCTCAAGTCAAGTCAAGTCAAATATATTTATAAAGCGCTTTTCACAATACAGATTGTATCAAAGCTGCTTCATAATAAAAATATATAATATTTCAAGCTCATGAAAACTGATTATTTAATAACATGGCAGGCATATAAAGCCTACAACTGCAGAAAATCAATTAATTAACATAGGCAGAGTACACCATGTGATGCGTCTGAGCGAATCACGTTAGCGAATCCCGTCTCTCGCCTTGATAAATAACTTTATTACATTTCTATTTTCATTGATATTCATTTCATTTGCTTTGTGTCCAGGGCCATGAAAAGGAAGCACTACAGCTAATGGCAACTTACCTGCCCAAAGACACCTCACCAGGGTCAGCCTATCAGGAAGGAGGAGGGCTGTACGCACTTGGGCTGATCCATGCTAATCACGGCGGGGAAATCATCGACTACCTTCTCAGCCAGCTCAAGAGTGCCAGTAATGATGTAAGTGCATAATCGCATTCAAATAAACTTTTGCAGCACAGAATTACATAAAAAGCAGGAATAATTCTCCATATTCCTTCTTTGCAGATCGTCCGTCACGGTGGCGCTCTGGGTCTCGGTTTAGCCGCCCTGGGCACCGCTCGCCAAGACGTCTACGATCTGCTCAAATCTAACCTCTATCAAGATGATGCAGTAACAGGCATGTAAAACATCTTCTTTAACCCTCTGGGGTTGTTCGGCCCAAATGGACCCGAAGAATTTAAATACATTTTCTTTTAAAAATCACAGCTGAAATTTGGTGGTTTTGTTGGTATTTGGTGTTTGAACACCCAACAAAATTGGAGACAGGATGTGAATAGTCTAAGTGGTTGTAAAAAAAAAATAGTCACACTTGGGGCATGGAAAATGAATGGGAAATTGGCAAAAATGTGAAAATACTGAGTTTTTTTGTGCATACAATCTACAAATCAGCCACGATCTTGAAAAAAAGCACACAACAGTGAAGGGGTGAATCTATAAAACATCAAGAGTGCAAAACAGACACATAACACACTTTTATAAACAAACACTCCAGATTATACATGTATTTTGCATTTTTAAAATGCTCAGTTTGTCCACCAGATGGCATCCATCTCATTTCAAAAATTGCTTTTATGAGGCCTAGGCTTGACACTAAAATGAAATAGAGCTTTTAAAGAAAAAACAAATTTTTTTTTTTTTTTTTCAATATTTTTTCTATTATGTTCAATGGGGGAAATTTTGACATAATTATTGCGTTAATACTAATTATAATTATAATTATTTTTATTTTTTTTTAATTTTCTCAAAACACCAAAAAAGAAAAGTAAAAATATTTTAAAAAAACACTAGTGAAAAAAAAAAAAATCATGATTTTTTTTTTTATTTATTTATTTTTTTAAATATGAATCCCGCCCTTTGGGTCCATTTGGACCCGAACACCCCGAGTGTGATTCTGAAACGAACAACCCCAGAAGGATAACGCAGCTGAAAAAAATAATCAATATCTCGATTAAAAGGTTCACTGTTACCACATTCTCAAAAAATGGTCGCAGTCTGGAACCCTGCATTTGTACTCGTTATCGCAATTAGAAACTTGTTTAATTGTGCAGCCCTAGCGACCACCCAGAATACTTGATCATAATGCGGTTCAGTTTGAAATGGTCACCAAGCCAGTCTATATTTCAAGGTGAAGCTCACTGTCATGTCGTTAATGGGTGTTGTCACAGGAGAGGCGGCTGGTCTTGCTCTGGGTCTGGTGATGTTGGGCTCAAAGTCGGCCCAGGCGATCGAGGACATGGTGGGTTACGCTCAGGAGACCCAGCACGAGAAGATCCTGCGCGGATTGGCTGTCGGCATCGCCATGGTGATGTACGGAAGGATGGAAGAGGCCGATGCTCTAATCGAGAGTCTATGCAGAGATAAGGTGAGCACTGTTTTCAACTAACACTTTGTATGACTTTTTTGTTTGCTGGGAGTTATTTTTTTTTAAAAAATGTTAAAGTCTAAAGCTTAAGGGCAGTACCCCCCCTTGATTGCGTACTTTCATACAAATGTAATGGTTCACTGCACAGTTTTCCATGCAGAATGCATTCTTTGTAGTCTTAACCGTTTCCAGAGAGCTGTGTTTATTCTGTGAATATATTAACTGTGCAGCTCGCTGATGTCTGAGGTTCTGGTCTGCACACTGAGCTTCTGTTTTATCTCTCTGTCCTGACAGGACCCCATCCTGCGCCGCTCGGGAATGTACACAGTGGCCATGGCATACTGCGGATCTGGGAACAACAAAGCCATCCGACGACTGCTACACGTGGCTGTGAGTCTACACTAGCAAATATTAGAGGTCGACCGATATGGTTTTTTTCATGCCGATACCGATCTTTTGAAATCCGGGTCGGCCGATTAATGCTGCCGATTTATTTTGGCCAATATTTGCTTGGTTTTTAACCTCTATTTGAAAGATAAAATGTAAAAGAAAAGATAATTACTTAACATAGACGGACTTTCTCAACAAAAACTTTTTATCCTCTCAAAAAACATGTATTTTTGGTTTGTTTTGTTTGTTGGTGGACAAAGACAAATGGACATAACCTAATTATCACAAAAAAGGAGAAAAAAAACTTTAAATGATTTAATTTTTTATATAGAAGATTTGTTATATTTTATTTAACTTATTTTCTAACAATAACGTATTTCACTAGTAAATTGCTGTTGAACGACAAAAACAACCACCAGATGGAAAAATGATATTTTGTAAACTTTAAATGCACCACAACGCACTGTCCGTCTGTTGTTCTTCAGACAATGGCATCCCGCTGTTGGACCTTTTAGTCACACTTAACACTGTTTGGCCAGCATTTTAACCATGTTTAATCCAGCTACTAAGTAACGGTCAGTGTTGTGCCTGAACTCGTTCAATGAACGCGTTCATATTTTGGGCGAACGTGAACGGAACGTACTGTATTACCGGCTGATGAACGTTACCTAGTTCATTCTGGTGTCTCTCTGTGAACGCGCGCTCTCTGCAATAGGGTGCCAGATTTCTATAGAGCCTTCCAGGCGAAAACCCGGCTAAAACACACGTAAACAGGCCTTAATATGTAGCGAAAAAAACACCCAATCTGGCAACACCAGCCACCAGTATCTAACATCTTACATTAATATGCAAACTTTGCCCGTCAATAAAATATAATTGTTGTCTGTTTTTGTATATGGGCTGTGGCAATAATAATAATAATAATAATTATTAAACTTTTAATCGGTCGACCTCTAGCAAATATCACAAACGACATGGATTATTAGACGCCAAAAAAAAAATATAAGGGTCATTTGGAGAAAATCAGTAACCTTATTGTGGAATGTATAATCTGAGAGTAGTTTTATTAGACTATATATTACCAAGCAAGTCGGTAGTGAGAATTTGATAAAAATAAATAAAAACAAGGATATTTAATGTGGTTTAAAGCGTTCAAGTAGTAAGACATGCTCCTAATTAATCGTGTTAATTTTCAATTTTAGATCCAAATTGCTAAAAAAAAAAATTTGTCATCATTATGGCTTAGTTTTTTTTCTTTTTGAGCGTTGGGTCTATCGTGCATTTCCTTTAGGTGGCGACATTTCCATTCTGTGTTGTACTTATATCAAAGAGCTTTTGGTGTTTCTGTGTAACTGTAACTTTAAAAAAAATACATCAATTATAACACTAGCACATTCATGTTTTAGATTTAGGCTCTGGTTAAGCTCAGGCACTTCAACTTTTAATTATTACTTGATTATTTATACAACGGCAAGAAAATAACCTGCATGCCATACGGAGCTACATTTAGCCACTGCTCAGCGAGTGATTGAGAGTTCGCCTCCATGACGAACTAAAAGTAGAAATTGTGGATATGTGAAAACCTGTTAATTGCAAATATATTTTGAAAATGAAATGCCATGAATTTTTAATAATTTATCAGCTTTTTACATCAGTGCTGTAAACATGACAAATTTGCCAATATCTGCTTAAACCGGAGTAGTATGTTTAAGTGGTTATGTTATTATAGAATTGTTTTCTTCTTTAAGATTAGTGAGTTTAATATTTTGTCTGATTTCTCGCCCTCTTCTTGTCAGGTGAGTGACGTGAACGACGATGTTCGGAGGGCTGCCGTCGAGTCCATCGGATTCATCATGTTCAGGTATGTTGTCTGTCCTCTTTTTCTCATCAACGCTCCCTGTCGTCTCGTCCTGCGCTTCATCATAAACAGACAAGCCGCTTTCTGAATGCTCGCCAGGAACGGATTAATCATGCCTTAATGTATACACAGACGAGATTCCTCCCATTCCTCTGTTGTGCTTTACAAATGTGTTTGGAGTGTCTCCTGATGTGCTTGTTGCCGGTATTTGATTTTGATCCCATTAAGAGATCGATCACTTCCTCTTATTGTGCCCTGTGGCACTTGCTTTATTGTCAGTGAGACTGTGCACACATTTTCCATCCTCTGTTGCTTGACTTAGTGTTTCTGCATTGAGTGTATATCATCAGTTCAACAGAACTTCTGCCAATTTCTTAAAGGAACACGCCAATTTTTTGTGACTTTGGCTTATTCACCGTATCCCCCAGAGTTAGTTAAGTCCATGATACATACTCTTTTCATCTCCGTGCGTGCCGTATCTCTATCTGACGCACCCATTGCTAGCCTAGCTTAGCACAAAGACTGGAAGTAAATGGCTACAACTAGCATAATCTTCCCAATAGGTGATAAAATAACGCCAACATTTTCCTATTTATATGTTGTGATAGTTGTGTATAGTCAGAGTGTACAAATAACAAGGTCATATGAGACGTAGGGCCCTATGAAATCCGTTTTATTTTTTCCCAAATTCCGTTTTATTTTTTCCCAAATTTAGTTTTTTCCGTTTTAATTTTTGGGAATTAGTTTTTTTTTTTACCCTTGACTGTTCTTTTAGTTGTAAAAATAATGCTTTTAAAGTTGATGATTAAAATGTATTAAAAAATACAAATAAATTAGAAATGACAAATTTATTGAGGTAATACAGACATTTACTCAGTAGCCTTTTCAGGACAAATACTGTATGATGCAACATAACACGGCACTCTTCAAGTAACAACAAAATATGGTTATGAGCTTTAAACTGTCCAGTAATATAAATTATATTAGTTTATATAAGTTTAAATAAAGTCACACTCTGTCTCTCACGGAGTTCGCTTCGCTTTTGTCCAGTCCGGCGCCTCATAGACAGACGCGGTGTGCACGTCATGTGTGTGCGTGCCTGAGTGAGAGAGAGACGGAGGGAGAGCAGGGAAATACAACTGAAATATTACGCTGCGTGTTTTAAATACTGTTAAAAACCGAAACGCAGTATGTGGTGGCGAATTAGTCTATGTGTGGGAAACACTGCATAAGTCACGTGCAAACTGCTCGGCTCGGCACTGACGGCTTATAGCGTCGAGTTTCTTAACTTTTAGCCTACGAAAGCAGAGCCGTGGAGAGCCGCTTCGCCATGCTTTCGTTGTTTTGATTTCATCATTGGAGCTGAAATGACGGGTTGAGGGGTTTGTGTCGCCCAGATTTGCTTCCCTTGGTCTGCATTTTCACCAGATATGCGTTCATCTCCCACACAAAAACAGAATTTCAAACCAAATATGGAAAAAACTAGGAAATTCCGCGTTAACACTAGATTCCGCGTTAATTGGCGAATTCCGCGATTCCGTCCACGATTTCGCTATCGCGGAATCATAGGGCCCTAGAGACGGGCATCTTTTAACCGTATACAAATTGGGAACTATATTTTCAGAAGGCGAAGCACTGCTACTTTGGCGGAGTGATTTTTGTCACTTATTGGTTATGCTAGTTGTATCCATTTACCTCCAGTCTTTGTGCTAAGCTAGGCTAGCGGTGGGTGCACAAGACAGTGTTATGGCACGCACCGAGATGAAAAGGGTATGTATGGACTTATCTAACTCTTTGGGACTTTAGCTTATTCAGCATATCCCCCAAAGTTCTTTAAGCTGTAGTTCATCCAAAAATGAGTTGTAATGTCCTCGATTTATTTTTGTTTTTCGCCATCCCCAAAATTTTTACAGATTTAGAAATGCATGTTTTCAAAGTCAGGTTGTCAGTCGTAAAAGCTCTGTTTAATGAGTTAAGGGTCATGTCCACTACACACTCATATGCGTCCCTGCATTCAAAACCTCTGAACATCAAGTAATTCTTGAAATAGTCAGCTAGGCGCCATTGATCTTTGATTGATCTCTACAACAATATTTGGGGACCGAGTGAATCAGTGCTTTCAAGACTAGTAGGTTTTATTATCTAGGTAATGATGGGTTCCACGTTACACCTTTAGACATCTTGCATGCAGTTAGTAGGACATGTTGTGTTGTCCCATTATACAGTTGTTTTTCAATTCTTTTGCACAGTCTTTTGTTATTGGTGTGAGTAAGTTCCCCCTCAGACGCCTCTCAGGGTTCTGGGCCAAGTAGAACTGGTGAACTATTTTAAGCCCTAAAAAGGCCATGCAATATTCCCATGATCAATTGTCATTTAAATAACAAAAAAAAAAAATCGATGTAAATCTTTCTTTTGTTTAAAAAGTGCATAGATCTGCTAGAGTTCAACAGGTTTCTGTCCCCTGTCCCGCAGACATGCAAATCACGCAGAACAGTTTTGTGGGAGTTGATGGATCTCTTGCTACAAATGCAAATGGGATATTCTCTCTATGAGAATATAACAGTAAAACATGTGAATGTTTTTAGTGGTGTCATAGATGATTGTGCTTTTGTGCAATTATAAACTTTAAACATTAGGGAGCACTTGCATATTCAGTATGCAAGAAACATTGTTTTCTTAATTCACAATGAAACCATAATGATTATCTGGAAAAAAAAGTTTATTTGGCAATAGTTCCATAAATCTTCAGAAATGTCAGTATTTACAGATAATTCTTTCTTACATTTACAAGAGCACTTGTTTTTGATTCAAGATCAGTCTACAGAAATAAAGAAGTCCTGCGATAATTCAGTAAGGCATATTTTTACAGAAGGTAAGTGGAGGTGATTTAAATGCGCTATTTGTGCTTATCTTTATTAAGATGTCTTTTTTTGGCGTCACATTGTAGACCCTGTCAACCAAAGTTTTTGCCCCCAAGTACTGTTTGTTTACACAGTACCGCCAATTATTAGGCTGCCCATATTTTCTCACGCAAAAGCTTTGTTGTGTCTTGGTGGTTCTCAGACATTCATCTTACATCCCCCAATCCAAGGTTTAAAGGTGGAGTATTGTATTGGCTACAATGCTACCAATTGGTTCCCATGAGGACTTGTCGTTTTTATGCCACTGAAACACTATGGCAAGTCTCCATCTTGTCTTTTCTGAATGGTGTCATATACACTACACTTGACTTACGTGTTCGTCAGGTTTGCAGTCTTCATTCTCCGCCAGAAGCAACGTGTCCAGCGTGATATTTGCGGAGGTCTGCAGATTCGTGGGCCGACGCCGGAGAGGACTTTGATAGCTTACTGGGCTAATGCCGTTTTTCATACCGTGTTTCATAAACCGTTTAGAGTTTTCCGTCACTGGTGACCGAAAAGCAATTCTGCTTCTCCGTTGCATTTTTGGAGTCCTCACACGTCTGTAGTTACAGGTGATGTAGCGCCTAAATGCCTGCCTGAACGTCCTATTAAACAGCGTATAAACCAGAGGGTTGATGCCCGATGAAACATATCCCACCCATTGAAAGATATCCAACAAGTGTTCCACTAGAATACCGTTGCACCCTTGACAGAGTACAGAAGTCACATTAGTAATGAAGAAAGGACACCACATCACAACAAACAACATGAATACAATTCCCAGAACCTTTGATGCCCTTTGTTCATTAGTCAAGTTTTGCATGGACCTCTTCCCTATTGTGGACATCCTGCGGAGAGGAACCTCATCCCCTGTGGCAGGGCTCAGTGTTCGGTCCCTTTTTATTCCATTTGCTATGGCCACTTTCTCCGGTGAAGAGAGTCCCGGCAATTCCTGCTGGAAGACAGTGGAAACGGTGGGCCTCCTAGCTCTCGACCTCAAAAGATCAGCCTTCTTGCGTAGGACTTGGATTGTCAGCAAGTAGATGATCATCATAATTGTGAGGGGTATAAAGAAAGCAGTCAAAGACCCATACACCTTGAAGTCCCCAAAGCCCTCTGGAGACAACAAGCAGGTGTGGTTGTTGTTGAAGGTGATGTTGTTTGGATGATCGAAGACTTGTAGCCCTTTGATTGGAATTGGTATTGCAATACCTGATAAAGAAAAATTAATCGTTAAATTGAGCAGAAAACAAGGTTTAAATAAAACATTAAAATGGTTTTGCTAGTTAAAATGGACGAATTCAGAAGTGTCTTGGAGGACCACCTTCCAACAGTTCAACTTCAACTATTAGTAAATGCCTAAACTCAATAATCATGGCCTTTGGGATTGCTTGAAACTTCTAGGCAGGTGTGTTGGGGCATGTTGGATCCACTTCATTTACCCCAAGAAAAGCATATTTACATTGTCTGAAACATTCCCTTTTCAAGTGTCTGTCTTGACTTGCACTCAACTCTCTTTTGGCCTCTGTCAACTCATGACATGACTTAATCCACTGAGGTCTCAGCCCAGAGTGAGCTGGTTTCGACTACAACACTGGTTAGAGTTAAACTGTCCAGCAAGGTGAAGACCCACAAACAGGATTGGACACCCCTGGACTAGGTTATTGCATTCATTCATTCCCTATCTAAGCTCCTGCCCAACAAATAGGTTTGTGCTTTGGCAGATACCTTTTTTTGCTTTGTTTAATAAAATGCTACTATTTGATTGGTTGCCAGAAAGATAGTTGATTAATTGGCTCTTCCGAACCTTGAACAGTTCAGCTTGTGTGGTGTTCCTCTAGAATTCTGGTCTCGAGGCCTTTTTTTAAAATGCAAAATTTCTAGAAACGTACAATCAAAAACAGCATGAGATGTCCCTCTTGATATTGTAGAGATCTTGTGTAAAAATGTATATAATTGCCAATTATTGCATAATAATAGCATTTATGACATCAATAACACACCTTGGACTTTTACTTGAAGTATCCATAACCAGGGGTGCTTGTGACTGGTGCGCATGTATGGTAAAAATAAGTGATGATTAGATAACAGTCATGATAAGTGTGTTCATTAATTATTAGGGGTGCAGCGGGTCGCAGTTGAACCGTGATCTTCCCGGACGAGCCCCCACGTTTCAGCAATCATGTGATCCATGGTTTAACTGCCAAGTTTAGCCATCATAGAGAGAAATTGCGTCAATTAGACATGTTTTTTCTTGCCAATTTACATATTCAAATGATTTTAAACGTAGAAGAGATGAAATTTGCGAGAGAGGCTCGTTTTAGACAGCTTTTAAATACCGAATGAACCGAATTTACTTGCGCTTAAATGGACACATACTCACAAAATTACATCAAAATACTCGTCTCGGCAAGTATTCTCTCAGTTATGTCATAAGTGAACAGTTGAGAAAGAAACTGGATGCCTGTTAGTATATTTGTTCTGTGAATTTGGTCTTAAAGTGATGGCAGCGTAATATTCCTGCTTTTGTCTGTGTCATTAATGTTTAGAAAAAAAAACATCTACCGTGTTCGAGGAAAAAAAGATAGTGTGGAGAGCAGTCAGGAGGAAAGTGATGATGACCGCTTGTAAGATAAGTGTGCCAAGCAGCATCTCCAGGTGCTCCCTTGAACCAGACCAAAAAAGTTGTGCACCCCTGTCCATAACCAAAGCTCCTGTCTTTTCTCATTAAGACCGCTTTGTCAAATGTGAGAATATGTGAGCTCGGTCTCAGGAGTGCACAGAGATGTGGTGTTTATGGTCAGTGTTGAAGTGACAAAGCACGTGGCCTGCCTTTTTATGGTGGTGAAACGGTTCCAGAACCATGCCTTGAGGTCGTTCAAACAACACAACTGTTGTTAACGAGCAGATATTTCAAGGTGTTTACTTTCATTTCACCCCCACAAGCCAATCTTGCTTGTGTAAATGGAAGTTTGCTGGCCAGTCAGTGACACAAGATAAAGGAAATTTATGCGTATGTGACTTTTCCAGAGACACAGAGTGCTGAGATCATTGATCGGTGTGGAGATTAAGAGTGGGGTTTGCCACAGTTTGAATATATCTATACATATTTTATTAAATGTAGGTAATTAAACTAGATTTTTGAAACTGCATTGCCTCTTCATCTTTTGAGAGAAAATTGTGGCAATTGTATTTTTTAAATTGATTTCAATTGGGTTAATGCCATTCCCTACAATTGTAAAGGCAATATTTCCTTTTTGTTTTATATTAGATATGAATATGTATTTGTAATTGTTCATGCATTCATTCATATTGTAAAATATAAAACCCTTGATTTCATGTAATGGTGTCTTTTGACATACCTATAGAGATTAGCCAGACAAGTGCGATTTTCGCCAACGCTTTAGCTCTGGACTTGAACTGGCTGTGCTGGATTGGCTTCTTGATCGCTATGTAGCGGTCGAGGGAGATGGCGCACAGGTGCATGATGGACGCTGTGGAGAACAAGACGTCCAGAAACAGCCAGATAGGGCACAGGAAGTCTGGAAGGGGCCATCTGGAGTCTGAAATATGAAGAGAAGAACCAGTCAATCGGTTAGCTAAATTGGAGACAACAAACTTTTGGCCATTTTGTGATGCGACAAACACTATCCTTCAAATGGGTTACTAACCCTGACAGAAGCTACGTTGTGTTTCTGGAGACATCCAGCATTTACCTGCTCCCTCAAAGATTCAAAACTAGTATAATTGCTTCTTTCTCCTCTTCAGTCACCCATGCAGAATAAGCCTAATATTATTATGAGCATTGTACATCACAGATTTAGTCATTTGAGTAGTTTGATGTTAAGATGATCATACAAAATGTTTTTGCCAATTCTTTGACTTTGCAACTTTTCGATGCCGTTGCGTTTCTCACAACACATGACTCACTGTAAATGTCAATAGTCTGGTTTTCATTTGTTTGGACATGCATTACTTTAAATTTATCCCAGCTTTTGGATCTCATCTTGCATCTATTGGATCTGAACATTATGATATAAATTGATACAAGCTTGAGTTGAACAAAAAACAGTTCATTAGATTAGACACTCTGGGGCTTTTGGCTGATTCATCAAGCTCTTCATCAGTGATGCGGTTTATTTTAGTGACAGTCATGAAATGGTGTATCCAGTTGATCTCATCCCATTACGCTTGCTGATGATATTGTCTAAAGCCTTTAAATAAGATGATATTGTTTTCATGTTGCCATCTAATATTGTTGTATATTGTTTTTTCAGTTTGTCATCAGATAAACTCTTATTGCCCTAATGACAAGAATTGAAAAAGAGGGTTAAATACTAAATTTAGCAACATTCCTCAAGTGTAATCTGAAGTTGAACAAAGCTGCATTTTGTAAAAGCTCTTTTGGGTTATGTCTTTTCAAACATGATTTTTTTTAGCTTGCATGGACCTGAACTACAGTGTATCTCCAAACCTGTGGTTTATGAGCAGATCTCCGTGGTTTGGAGAGGCCTTGACCAGATGTTGAAAACTGGCATTGGTCAGATCACCCCTCTTTACTAACAGACCTTCATAGTAGCTCCTCAGAGGGTACATTATTGCCAGGCCAGCAGAGTTTTTCGAAGCTTTCTGAATCATTTTTTATCTAAATTGATTTAATCAGCATAAATCAAATGCATAACATGCATTAAATGACACTGTTCTGAATTTTGAGACATAAATTGAGCAGTTTCTTCCATGCCATGTCTGGTGAAATTTGAATTCATTTTTTCCGTATGTGAAGCAGTATAGGTTACTTAAATTGCATTTTTACTTCCACCACCAAACCTCTTTCAACTAAAATGCTGTTGTTGCTCAATAGATTCAGATCTAAAAATCATTTTGTAGAGTGTAAACGTGTGTCCATGTTCGCCATTGTTTTTTACATTTTCACAGGTGAAATTTGGTCAGTTGAATAGGAAAAAATATTGCAGTATTTGCGTTATTCCAAAATTGGATGATGCCTACAAAATCTAAGTGAACATATCAATAATATTGCCTAAATCGTCTATCCCTAGTTTCTAGGGGTGTAACGGTTCACAAAATTCATGGTTCGGTTCGATATGATACACTCGTGTCACGGTTCGGTACGTTTTCGATGCAGCAAAAAGAAAGAAATGCCAGAGAAATGCCCTTGATATACATTTTTAATTATATATTTATTAAAACTAACATCATAAAGTATGATATTTTTTAACTTTGAGCAATGGTGGAGCTATACTTGAATTTTCTTAGGAACTTGTAAAACAAAACAGCTTCTTGGACAAAGTGAAATGTAATATTGTAGTAGTTATAAACAGGTTTATTTTAGTTCAGATTAACATTTGAGGGCAGGAATTGTTTTCATAATGTCAAAATAAAACTGACGTAATGTTAATTGAAAGCGTTATAGCCTACTATACCTGCCACACTTCCATGGTTACAGTTAGTGTTACTATTGTAAATCCCTGGTGAATGTTGCTGATCTGTGGACACTGGATAGTTCATTCATTGCACAATATTTTTTCCTGGTTTTCACATCAGCGTGGTTTGATCCGTTGAACGGAGAAATGTGAATGTTTCTCACTAGATCTCGCAGTTATGTTATTATGAATTCAAATGTTTTCTTTACTGGATTTGGCTGTGTAGTTACAGTGCTGATGATTAAGATCGTCTCGCGCTTTATCGGTCAAAACGGTCCGTCAACCACACAATAACGAGTAGCTCAGTTTCGTTCCGCTTGCGTTACATTTGCCGTTTGATGTTGGGCAATGTTGTATTCACGCCAGCGTCTATGAGCACGCTAGCCACGCACCTACATTTGAAATAACGAAATTTTGTTCAGCATGAAAAATGGTCCAACGAACCGTTCGGTTTAAAAATGCATACCGAAAACCGAACCGAAAGCCTCGTACCGGTTCAATACGAATCAATACGATTCGTACCGGTTCAATACGAATACGTGTATCGTTACAGCCCTACTAGTTTCCATATAGACTGTCAGGAAAGGGTGCCCTCTCTTCCTGAAAGCTAAATAAAGAGACACTCTACCACACTTTAGGTTTGGCCTGCCAAGTCTCAACTTCCTCATGTAAATATTTCTCTCTTTCTCAGAGAAATACATTTGTGGTGTGCTCTCAAGGGTAGGCTCTTGTTTTTAGTCCTGCTGAGACTCTTCATCAAGCGCTGTGTAGGTTTTCACAGTGTTCACTCGTTGCTTTTTTTTCATGGCTTTAACTTGACTTTCTGTCTTCACCTGGTCCACAGATGTGGACGTGGCCTTTGGCATAACATTGGTTTTACTGTTTGAGCAAGCACATCTTACAGGATATCTCCACAGGACCGAACCCTTTGAATTACTCCAATTGGGAAAGGTCACTTTTATTTTTATAATTGCATCCAATCGATTGAGAATTAGAGTTACTAGAGTTCCTGCTAAGTTGTATCTAGAGTTACTTCTTTCTTGGTCAATAAGTTGTTGCGCTCAAGCAAAATGTGTTATTGTGCCCCTTCCTCGTAAGATAATTTAGCTTAATTACCTGTAAGTGTTCATGGCTTCTGGTGAGCTTCAGCTGTTTTTCTTCTCTGCGTTCACACATGGTTCTCTTTGTGTGGAACACCTTTAGAAAACCTGGACTTTTGCTCCTTTTCCTATACTAATGGTCCTTGGGGGACGACTCAATGTTTTCACGTCACCAAGGCTTGGTTTAACTCAACGACTGAAACCTCAGTTTAATTTTCAGAACTGCCCCCGACCAGAAAAAAATCAATTAAAGCCAACCCTCGCCATCTTTACATTTTGGCTCCGTTTCCCCCCAATCCCTCAAACAAAGTGTTTGACAAGTTGCTTTGGATGAATTGCATCTGTTAAAGTGTTTTCCAGGACAGATGACTGGAGTTAAAGGGATAGTTCATGCTAAAAAATTGTCATTTTTGGGCGTTTGTGTCTTTCCAAAACTTGGACCACTTTGATTTTTCATTCAATCGAGAGAAAAGTTAACATTTTTGAAGGTATTCTTTTCTTGGTAACACTTTATTTTGCTGGTCCCTTTTGATCATTCTACTGACTATAAGTAACTTTGCAACTACAAACTTATTTTAACCCTAACCGCCTACTAATAATGAGAAGTGCAACTTTACTTCTAGTCAAAATAATGTGTTAAAGGGACCATCAAAATAACGTGAAACCATTTTCTTTAGTGTCCCACAGAAGAAAGTCGTTCAGGTTTTTTGAATTTGGGTGAACTAAACCGATATTTTGATGAAGCCAGCAAAGTTCAGGTTCACCTTAAGCTTTAATGTTTGAAGACCAGGTGCAGCAAATGAAGTAATAAATGTCATCAAACCTAATCAATGAAGAATAATGGACCGACTGGAGTGTTCTGGCATCAGACCTGAAGACACGCTGGCATACGAATGACAGTAGTAGCAGCTTGGCAGATGTTTGAAAGTTGTGCGAGACATGTTTTTATGACTGCTGTGTATTCGGTCTGTCAGTGCAGGGAAGCGAAACATGGTCTTTATCATTCTGTTTAATATGATTTTAGTGGTACAACTAGTCCTTCAGTTTTCATCTGGGTTATAACTTTCACTATCATACAATCCTTATGGAACCACCAAAGCAATGTTGGAGAACCTTTGGTGACACTTTACTTAAAGCCCTTATAATAAAGAGAAGATCCAAGATGTCCATGTCATTCTTTCTTCAGTCGAAAAGAAATTAAGGTTTTTGATGAAAACATTCCAGGATTTTTCTCCATATAATGGACTTCAATGGGAACCAAATGGTTCAAGGTCCAAAAGACAGTTTCAGTGCAAACTGTTCAAAGGGCTTTAAACGATTTCAGACGATGAATAAGGGTCTTATCAAGGACCCTTCGAGTCATGACTTGAAAAAAGATTTGTTCATTTTGATGAACGAGTTCGAACAGGAGAGTCACGAATGCGCCTCACAGAACAGAGCAAGGCGAGCATTTGAGCTTATAAAACGTAAACTTGGTTATATATTTATTAAATGAGCGATTGTTTCGCTTGATAAGACCCTTATTCATCGTCTGGTGTCGTTTAAAGCCCTTTGAACAGTTTGCACTGAAACTGTCTTTTGGACCTTGAACTGTTTGGTTCCCATTGAAGTCCATTATATGGAGAAAAATCCTGGAATGTTTTCATCAAAAACCTTAATTTCTTTTCGACTGAAGAAAGAATGACATGGACATCTTGGTTGACATGGGGGTGAGTAAATTATCAGAAAAAGTTTTTTTCAGAAGGACTCTTAAGTAAAGTGTTACCGAACTTGTTTTATTTGTATTTGTACAATTGAAGTTCAGATTACTTACGGAAAAGCACGGTCACCAGAGCGATGGGCATCACTAGCAATCCCACCAGTAGATCGGCCACAGCCAGAGACATCAGGAAGAAGTTAGTGGCGTTCTGCAGTTTCCTCTCCAGTGACACTGCCAGAATGACCAGGATGTTTCCACCAATGGTGGGAAAAATGACCAGGAGAATGAGCAGTGCGGCCCAGCGCAGTTGTTCTCCAGGCTCGTGGAAATCCCAGTCCTCGCTCCCCGTTTGGTTGGAGACACTAGAGATAGCCATTCTGCTGCGTGAAACTGAGCTTTTGTTCTTTCCGTGGGCTCGTCCAGCATTGTCACAGACTCCCTCCGATCAGACGCCTTCAGTTCAAACGGTGCTCGTCTTCGGTTCGCTCGCAAATTTCAATTTATTGAGAAAATGAGTTTCCAAAGTATTCCCCTCCAAATTGTTAATTATCATCTCCTGTTGAGTAGTCACATGGTAGATGAGGTATTGCCCGTCTTTGTTCTGTCTCTGTGCTTTTATACTTCTGGAAATATAAACATTTGAACGGTGATCTCGTCATTCAAAACACATTATCTTAAAGCGACATATGATGAATGTGCTTTTCTCGTCATGTGATTAGCAGTGCGTGTACCAGACCATGTTTGTAATTAAGCAAGGAAGTGGCTATCAGTAATGATCTGTGAATGTTGGCCGTATGGAGTCATTTGCGTTCCTATCTAGCCCCATCAGTCGAGCCAGCTTGACTTCATAAACAACGATTATGTTTTCAGATTAATTAGGTTTTCATAATTGCATTATAATTTGGAAATGGTTCCTTCTGGCATCACATTATGTAATGAGTATTATGAAATACAGTCAAACAAATGTTGTGTAATCTTATTTATCTTGTATATTAAAATCTATATTTTATCTTCTATACTGGAATATTGTATATTAAAATCTACATTTTATGTTATATATTGTAAATAAGATGTATTTTTTTATAGGAATTTAACTACTTTAGTTAAAATGGACTAAGAATATGCATTTATTAATCTTAATGTTAATTTCAACATTTTCTAATACATTATTAAAATAAAAAGTTGTATTTGTTAACATTAGTTAATGCACCGTGAACTAACAGCTGGATTTTTAGTAACTAAAGTTAACAAAGGTTATGTATAATAAATGTATTACTCATTGTTTGCTGATGTTAGTTCATACAGTAACTAATGTTAACAAATGAATCTTATTGTAAAGTGTGACAAATTATTATTTTAGAAGCTCTCTGAAAGTATTGTTTTATTTTCCCCTACCAAACTCTGTTCACCATTTGAAATTTTGCTATTTCTCATAAGCTAAACATACATATGTAATCACCAATATACATTTTCAATATTTAACTATTTTCTAAGTTTAAAATATTTCTAAATTAAATTTTTCCCATTATGGGAATTTTTTTTAAATTATTTTTTTATGGAAAATGATTTCTACTTACCGTGAACCCAAAGCGGTGTGTTTCCTCAAGTCATCAGCTTAATTCTGTATTATTCATTGTCTTTTAAGCAAGTGAAACAAGTGCACTAAACGCCCCTCAGATTGTGACTTATCGTCCTTTTATATGTGCACCCAAAAAAAGTACAAGCAAAACATCAGGTTGTCCAAATCTCTGTGGGAAAAGATCCAGATATCATCTCACTTTTCGGCTTCATGCTGAGGAATTTCCCTGTTGTTGAGGAGCTGGACGAATCCCCAGATCTTCTCTGCATCACCTATCATGATCACCGGTCTAAAACTTCCACACGTCCTCTAACCCTGCCTCTCTCGCTCTCTCTCTGTGTGTGTGTGTGTGTGTGTTTACGACTCGCTCTGCTTCTCCCTCCCTCTCTCGCTCACATGTTAGACCTGGAGAACCTGATGGATGTCGACGCCAGGGCGGATCCAGTGATCCTGGGGGGTCGGTTTCCTCAATGTAGCGTGGCAGATATTGTCCATATCTTTTATTTTTACTTTATTATTACCCCCCATTTAGTCAACTAGACTATTTTAATAAGTCTTACACATCACAGCTGTCTACTTTTCATAATTTGTCAAACCCCTCCCCAGAAACGGGTAGTTTTTCATCAATCTCTGAAAAAAGCTAAAAATCTAAAGCTCACTGAGTATCTCTCCATACTTGAACCTAGAAAGCACCAAGCTAACGATCTTCATGTGTCCATAAACCCAGATTGGAGGCATTGATTGAATACTAAGGGGCTGATTTGTCATATTTTAAGATCGATTGAGGACTTGACTCCCACTTTTGCATTAAATGTCTTTTTTCTTGCTGGGTCTTTGTCTAGCTTCCCCCTCCCATTCCCACTATGTTTTCAGGCTGCATGTGTCTTGGCACATCTGTTTCCCACCTTACCAGGGGGATGTTGAGATTTGAAGCTGGTTATTGAAAACAACAACAAAACCTCCTAACTGTGTGTGAGTTTGTTACATTACCAAAGGCTTAAACGCACCTACTACTTATGACCATGATTTTGAAATGGCGTAAATGTAAATCAGCAACTCTTTCTCTATATTGCCGAGGCTCATTCTGGTGCATCTTGGATGTGTTAAAACTATTGAAGGCGTTTCTACACTGTAGAGAAATTTCAACTACTTCAACTTCAAAAAAAATCAGTTCTTTATATTTTATTAAACCGACTTAAAATCGTGTTTTAACCCTAAAACAGTATTCTGGACAAATATGGGCAAAATAGATAATGAGAGATATTTTAGTACTTGAAAATCTTTGTATTTTGCCTGTGTATGGAAACTTAATGCAAAAATGTCTTTGTGTAAAGAGAAAAGAATAACAGGGCATAAACCTGAATACTATACTTTAATGATAAACTAGTAAAGAAATACTTTTCAGTGGAGCCAGGGCTGTTGTACAGATCTCTCCTTTGTTTGCTCAGTTTGCTGGTGCGTCTGGCAAAGAGAAACTCTTGAACCATGTACGCCTCTGACTCCTGGAGTGTGTCATGCTCTGTCTTTTGTTTATAAAAGTTAACAAGAAAAACTTAAATCAGACAAAACAAATTTAGGAGGGAGATTTTAGCTAAAGATTTAAGAGTCTGTAAAGGCTGATTGTGTTTTCCAAGTAAGACAAAGCTGTTTTTATGAAGTTTTTATTTTGTGTGTGTGTGTGTATATATATATATATATATATATATATATTAGGGCTGTCAATCTTCCTCTACAATGCTATTCGAATTCCATTCCTTATTTTCTTTAATATTCGAATATTAAATGCTAAAATTTATCCTATTATTAATATTTACGACATTACACTATAGCATGTGGTTGTTGTTACACGTTCGGTCCACTAGAGGGACATCTAATACACATTTTATTCATGCTGAATATGGTTGAAGCGCTTCTGATTGTTTTCGGCTGATATCTCTGTGAAAACACCACCAAAAATTCTGAAACGTATATCGTTCTTTTCAGTTCGAATAGACGGATCCAACAAGCTCGATGCGTACCGAATCCATTGAGATATTTGCCTTTTTCGCTTCACAGACACTTTTTACGTTGTTTAACATTTAGGTTACCATTTTTGACAGTTGTTATGATACACCGTGGATAACGTGCACACTTGTGTTACGATTCAAAAACTTTATTGTTCATCAGATGAAAAAAAAGGCATTTCATTTTCACATGCTTGTAAGCCAAGGCGGCGAAAAGGCAAGATTGCATATAAAAGAAAATTTCAAAAATAAACATAAAAATAGCAATATTCGAACAGTAACTTCAGCATTCGAATAGTATTGATTTTTTTTATATATTTTTTTTATATTCGAATTATATTTGAATTTTGGAATTCGTTCCAACAGGCCTTATATATAATATATAATAATAATAATAACAGGCCTTATTTTATATATATAATAAAGTTATGGGATTACTGATATAAATTTAAGCATAATATTTGCAACAAAAATAAAAAAATTGGGTTTAATGTTAGAAAGCATGAAAACTCAAGTCTAAAGCAAAACGCAACCACCATATAGCAATGTGGTATGGCAACAATGTCTCTGCAAATAAAAGTAAATCATAAATAAACGACTTTCGAGTGATTCGTTACAAACCTGCGCTTCAGATATGCTAAAGCTCAACCGTGCTTGTGTGATGTGCTAAATCAGACCTCACTGGTTCCCGCGCGTTACGGAAGCACAATTGAATGACAGTTCCTCTTAATGGCGATTGGCAAACCCAGGTGAAGGTGCATAGCGCCACCTACTGTATGACACCTGCATGACGGCGACACCGATCAGCTAAAAAAAAGCTACGATCTGATAAATCGGCTCTGATATAGAGTGCCGAAGTTATCACGTCACTTTATTGGCCAAAACGCGGGAAGTGAGTTAGCATTTTAGCACTCCCAGTTCCCTCGCTCTAAAGTCTATGGGATTATTGAATGGGTTTTTGCTAAATCGCCTGGAATATGATCTGTGGTTAACAAAGCCTCTAAATATTTTCACATTTTGATCTATGAAATAAAACACACAGTTATAACCTGCTTGTGGGTTTTTTTAAACTTTAGTGTGTCTGCTTGTTGTTTGAAAAACGTAGAATTTGCAGAACGTAGATTAGTACTTAAAGGGGTTTCTGCTAAATTTGTGTATAAAGTGTGGCTTTTTTTGATTGGATAGTGGTTATTAATAAATATACCGTAACGTATTGAAGGCAAATCTAGATTTCTGAGTAAATATGTTTTGAAAACAAATGAAGCTTCAGTCTGAATCTGAGACTGAAGCTTCTAAGCCCAAATGACTTGTCAGGATTAGATGAACTCAATGTTCGTGAGTAGGCATAAGACCCTGGATTAGATTTGTGTTTGTACAGAAGGTTCATCAACATTGAGTCTTTCCCAGCCTGCCAAGTTTGGCAGAACCCTTGATACTGTGCAACACGTTAATTCCAGCCTGATGAAAGATTAAGGCAAATCCTTTTTTATTGCTAGTGGCATTCGTATGCGAGTGCTAAACTGTGGATTAGCTTCCCACGGAAAGGGTTTTGCGGTGGGAAGAGTTTGAGCAGTCATCTTAATTGGACATTATGTCCGTTATTACAGACCAGATTATTCCAAAAGACCAATTTTCAGTCTTAATTGTCAGTCAGCGCACTTTAAGTTAACCCGGTATTGCGCAATCTGTTAGCATATTGGTGTCAGCCAATCAAATCAGATTAGTATATTAATAAATAAAGTTACTCATCTTTTCTTTGTGCAGTTTTATATGATGCCTGATTTTGCTTGAAACGCATAAAATCAAGATTAGAGCTTTAAAGGTATACGATTATATATATCAGTATAGATTCATAATACTGGCTATCATTTCAGTTATTGGCCACAACAAAGTCATATGCTTTTATTTGCAGAATTTCTATATCTGTGCCTCCTTAAGATGGCAGCTTTATATTATAATTTGATTTATTCTTGTTTTTTAAATGTAAATTGCAAATAGTTTCATTGTAATCTAATTCTCTTCAATATAATACGTCTCCTCTTTCATTGACTGTGTAGTGTGAGTATCAGCATAATGAAGTCTCTGAGGATTTGATTAGGAAATTGAGGCTGTTATTTGATCATTTTATTCCTAGATGGGCATTTAGTCCTTCAGGCTGTTTGAGAATACCATTAACAAAGGCTGTAAATGCTCTCGCAGGAAATGCAAACATGATTTTGAAGTTCAGTGTGTGACGAAATCTGACTGCAGAATTTAAATATTTATGCATGTGAAAAATAGATGTCAAAAGACACTGTTGACTGTGTAGTTGTGCCAAGTGTACTTTTTTTTCTTCATGAGAGTAGCTCAACTGTTGTTTTAACCAATTGAATCTCCTTGTTAGCTGTCTTGTAACCAAGTTTTTCACAAAAAGTCCATTTTGTCTGGAAGTACTGCTGCTTTTACTAAATATGTTTGTCACAATTGGCCTTACATTCCCATTCCCATATTTTTATGGTCTTTTTCATAGTAACCACACACCTATACTTCAAATAAACTTGAGTAAAAAGCTGTTTTATCAAGTTAGCATTGTTTGTTACGAACGACAGTTTGACCGAGAGCCTGTGCACCAGTTTAATAGTTCTTTTGCATAAACTTTGAACAAAGAACTAAAGCCTCACATTCCTACACCCGATCCAAAGTCTTACTGTCAGAGAAAATAAACCGGTTTGAAAAATTGATGGTCTTTCCTTGTGTCTACAGGACTCCAGAACAGTGTCCCAGTGTGGTTTCCCTGCTGTCCGAGAGCTACAACCCTCACGTCCGATGCGGCGCTGCAATGGCTCTGGGCATCTGCTGCGCTGGCACTGGGAACAAGGTACGGGGTCGGCACTCTTACAGTCGGTTTCGCCGTATTAATGAGGCTGTGGAATATGAATAATGTAATAGGCAGGGCTTGACATTAACTTTTTCACTGGCCACAGTTTTGACATTGATACCATGGGGAAAAATTGCCATATAGATATTTTTAATTGTATCTTATAATTTAGCAGCTGGTATATTAGGCTGCTGTCACTTTAAGACCAGATCAGCTGTATTGTATATTCTTTCAGTATCGATATGTATCGAAAAATCTATATATTTGACCACACTAGCTTTGTACTTGGTTTTTATTTCAGATGCCTTTTTAAAAGTCTACAATTGAAAAATTTATAACATACAAAATTCATCCCGCCAGCGTGGCTTGTGGGAATGAATGCGTTACACGCCACCGCTGAGATACACCCGCATTTGGTGGGTTTGCGGGTGTTAATGTCATTGTATTTAACACACACAACACTAACTCACATAGTGACATAGGTGCATAC